GTGATTATGGAGATATAAAATTAAGATTTTTTAATTACTATTTTTTAAAATTAAATGTAAATTGAAAGTATTACTTAAAAATTTGCTAAATATATCTATTTTTTACCATGATAGTTCAATTATCTCAAATTTTAGTTCATGCAATTATTTTTTAAAAATGATATTAAAATATTTAAATTTCAATTCTGACAATATTTTTATCCTTAAGTTACAGTTTTTGTATAAAAATTTTTAAAAATTTAGAAATCCTTAGAAAATATCGATAATTTTCATAGTGTTAATTGGAGGAAAGAAATTAAACTCATTGGGACTGATGATTTCCCACTAGAAAATGGAGCTTTTTCATGCCTTCTTTCCCATAAGACTTGAAAGTGTATGGATTGGAGCTATAGATATGTAAAACAATGTATAGAAAAGTACATTTATTTTATTTTCTTCACTTGATTTGAGAAAAATAACAATAAAAAAGGGTAGTTTAGGGTTTAATCTCTTGTGATTTATTGTAGAAATTAAGCTTTGACTTGATTTGTAAATTAAGAACTTCTTTTCCCCATTTTTTATCAAGTCATTTAAATCAAGATTTGAAAGCTAATATAAATTTAACTCGTATGTATGCAATATAGGTTAAATTTTTTTTGTTTAAATGGTTAATTTAAAAATTTATACGTAAAACATATTAATGATTTTGTTTTCCTCTTCTCAAACCATATAATTAAGTTTGGATACTTGATGAAATGCTCAAATTAATTCCTTGGCCAAAAAATAATTACTTATTATATTTTTCGATTGAATTCCAAGAGGTAGATAAAACCATTTAGAATTTGATATTGTTAAACCTGTCTTGTATTATTAATATTAATTAGTGATTATTGGACCAAAAAGAATATTAATTAGAGATCATGTGTTGTTGCACGTCATATTTGTTTTTTATTACATTTTTAATTTTTAAATATTAAATAAAAAACTAATATAGAATTTGAAATATAAATAATTGAACTTTAATTAACTTATAAGATGGTGGTGTTAAATATTAAATTAATATTAACTCAATTTGAATTCTAAAATAAGGGAATATCTAGATTTATTATATGAGAAGAAATTATTTCTTATTATGTAACTTAAAAAAAGATGAATAAAAAATAATTATAAAAATATATAACATAATTATTATATGAAGTAGAACAAATTAAAATAAATAAATAAATAAACCATGATTGAACCAATCTTACAGAAAGAATACGCTTTGACTTAAAATTCTCACTGTCTTCCTTGTAATTGAAACAAAGACCTTGTTGATAGTACGCTTAATTACATTATATTTTGTAAAGAAAAATGTTATTTTCTGTAAAAATTAAAACTAATTGTATGGCTTGAGGCCCCATATGGAGCTAGCATTCTTCTACTATACTTGTATGGCTTGGGAACCCACATAAATCGATTACCATCCATTTTTTATTCCAGTTAGGTCGGCATGGATCGATCAAAGTTCTCAAGGGAGACAAAGACAAGTACTCCCATGTTAAGTTAATCTTGGTTTAAAGTATTAATTGAACTTGACCTTGTTGGGTCTTGAACAATTCAAAACACTAAAAATGTAACCTATCCAATCCAAATTTACAATGAAGACAGAGCTCTATAGGTTTTGGTAATAGCCTAAAGAAAGACAAAAAAATGCAACCAAAAGCAAATTATGTTTTCACAGTTTTTCTCAGTCGACTAACCTTTTCTCAGCTTTTTGTTCTTGGCTTATCAAAACCATCTTTGATTTCAATGTTTTCATATCTTCTCTTTTCTGGGGAAAGAATAAATAGAGATGTGATTAGCTCATGACTAGAAAAGAAACTTACAAGATTAATTCAATATAAACAATAAACAGTAATTATAGAAATGGAATTGAACAGATTTTATCAGAACCCTTTGCCTGGTATAGCATGATCTTGTAACCCCTCTTGTCATTTCACCGATCAATGTAATTCAATTGTGTGCAAATCTACTTTTCTAGCAGCTTTCGCTTTGTATTATATAATGTGACTGTGAGGCATCGATCTGGAAGCATCTAGATGCTTGAACTCAGGCCATGTTTAGCATGCTTTGACTTTAACGAAAATAAGTCAGGCTTTGGTCATTATCAATTACATTATTTATATTCATTGTCAATACATCAAATATAATTTCACTATACATGAACTATATGATCTTCAAAAGCTATAATTTCACTCTAATTTTTTATTTATGATCGTTTACCACAAACCTAACAATTTATGAATCTCATAATTTAATTTTATAAGCATAAGGATGGTGCACACATTCTGTTATTATTATCGGAACCCGTCGGGCTCGGGTTGGGTTGCCAACCTTAGAAATGGAACTGTGTTTCAAAACAAAAAATGGGAAGGGTAAAAGGTTTTTTTTTATAATTAAACTAAGGTCTCTATTATGGATGAAAGCAATGGAAACAAGAGGAGAAATTAAGGAAACGGATTGGTGGAAAGGACCTACAAAAAAAAATGTTATGGAAACGAGTCTATGGAGTAGGGAATAAGTGCAATGGGAATGTCCAAGAGAAAATGTGCTACAGTTCAACGTCGACGTTCGACTTCCCATTGGCTCTATAGGTTACGGAGGGGTGCTTAGAGATGTAGGTGGTAATATTAGAGGTATTTTCTATGGCTTAATAGGGATTCAAGATTCCAACACAGCAGAACTGGAGGCTATCAAAATAGTTCTACAAATTTTTGTAAGATCCCTATAGTGCAACCAAAAGGTATTGGTTATAAAGTCAGACTCAAAGGTAGTGATAAATTCAATCTTAAAGAAGGAAAACAGGCCATAGAGGCAATGGAAATAACTCGAGGAGATTGATTGGCTAAAACAAGTAATAGGACGAGTTGATTTTGTGCGTGTTTAGAGAGAGGCTAATAGTTTTGCTAACTCGTTGGTAAAGATAAGAGTGAATTCATCAACCTTTTTCTAGACTTGACTGTGAATGAGTTTTAAATATATTGTCATGTTATTCTTGTTTTAGTTGTTAGTGTTGAATGGAAAGTTAAGTTTTAGTGTTATTACCACCAGAAAACTCCACTAGGTTTCATGGTGGTTGTAGAAACCGAATTTTATCCTAAACATTTTAACATAATAGACCCAAACTCATTTTTGAATATGGGTTGGAACTATTAATTTAGGTATATTATGTAGACCATTTAAAAACCCTAATTAAGGGCCCAATTGTAAATTTGATTTACGGCCCAATTATGGCCCATTTAAGGCCCAATAGGCAACTTATTTTAAAAGCCTAACTAAAGCCCATTTTACAACTCAAAAAAAAAAAAGCCCAAAGATAGCCCATTACATAATCTAATTCGTAGCAAAATATGGCCCATTTATAAACCCAAAGCTATTTTATTTATAAATCAAATATGGTCTTTATGCAAGGATAAGGTTTGTTTTAATTTTGGTTGCATGAGTACATGTAAGACAAAAAGGGGGACATTCAACTGAGAAGAAGGAATTAGTTGGGGAGATAAAGAAAACAGAAGCTAGTAAGCTACCTACAAAGGAAAAAAAATAAAAGTGACTAGTGGCTAGCAGGATAGTAAGGTGGAAAAGAAAAAAAAAATGAAAGGACTTGGAGGGCAAGTCAAAAGGGTCGGTGGAAAGTTTTAAAACGGGGGAAGCTAAAAAAAATGAAGGTCCTTTAACAAAGGAAAAAACAAAACAAAAAAACCTAACATAAAAAGGAAAGGAAAACCTTACCAAGAAAAGAGGAATAGAAAAACTTAAAGGACAAGTCAAAGGGGTCGGTGGAGAGTTTTAAAATAGGGGAAGCTACAAAAAAATAGAGGTATTTTAATAAAAGAAAAAATAAAATAGAACAAACCCAGTCTAAAAAGGAAACGAAAAACTTACCAAGAAAGGATGAGACCTTGTTGAAAATAAAGAAGGCCAAAATTGTTAGAAATCAGAAAAAAGGTAGCTTATTTTACTTTCTTTCAAGTATTTCACATGCATAACTTCACTTTCATTTTTTTTAGCTTTGATATGCTTCTTCATGTAAAGTTTAGAACATAAATGGTTGTCATGTTCCTTGCATAGGTTTTTTTAAGCATAAAAGAGCTACTTTTCTACTTATATAGAATTAGAGTGGCAAAAAATGTAAAGACTATCTTGTCTAAATTCATGAAACAATTTCTAGATGATTGCCCATTTTGAGCTCTTGTATGGATACTAATTTATTTCGGAACCTAAATTATTTTTTAAGCAAATAATCTAGAAACTGTTTCATGAGCTCAAATGGTTGGGAAAGACTTTAATTGTCTTAATATTATTAAATTTGTTATGACTTTGATTTCAGCTCATAAAAAATAATTATTTTATGAATAAGTATGTACAAATGAGTATAGCTATTTGAGCTTATTTTGATTAAAATAATATTAATTTAATAATAAGATATTGTCATTATAAGTATTATTTTATTTTGAATAAGTTTATATAAATTGAAATAATTTTTTTATGATAAAAAATGTCATAACGATTTAAAATAAATATTTATGCAAATAGCAATGACTATTTGATCTAGTTTGATAAACATATTTACTTTTAAAATATTTTACTTATTAATTATCTAAATATTAATATATTAGTATTATTTTAATCCGAATAAGTTTGTATGAACATAAACTATTATTTTATAATAGAATAAAAAATCACAACAATTTAAAATAAATAATTACTCAAATAATTATAACTATTCGAAGTGTCAAGGCATATTTGAAATAAATAAATTTTAAAATTTTAATTTATAAAAAATTTTAATTTATATTTAAATAAACTTTTAACATAAATTAATATTTTATTTAAAATAAGATTTATTTAAATATAATAAAAAATAAAATTTATTAAAATACATTAAAAACATAAAAAATAATTCATGCGAATTTTTTAGTATTTTATTTTATTGTTAAATATTTTCTAGTTGGTTAAAAGTAAAAAAACAAAATAAAGAGAACAAAAAAAAAGGAAAAATTGTGAGCGTGGGGCTGGCAAACTGGAAACCTGTAGGGACAGGACTCAGCAGATGAGAGTGGCTGGATCTGGAATTCTGGGGAAGATTGGAAATTTGAATTGAGATCTTAGATTTGTTGGTCGCAGTTGCAAGTGAATAGTAGAGTAATTGTCTTATTGTTTTACAATTAGATCAGATCTGGAGAAATGCTGCGGCTGAGTGCATTTCGCGCGACCAATGAGAAGATTGTGAAGATAGCGGTGCATCCGACTCATCCATGGTTGGTAACCGCCGATGCCTCTGATCACGTCTCCGTATGGAACTGGGAGCATCGCCAGGTCATTTACGAGCTGAAGGCCGGTGGGGTCGACCAGAGACGTCTTGTTGGTGCCAAATTGGAGAAGCTTGCTGAGGGCGAATCTGGTTCGCAATCTATTTCTATTTGGAATTTTCATCTTTTTTTTTTTTTAAGGTTAGATTTGATTTTGATAAAAATTTGACTTCACAGTGCTCAAAGGGAAACCTACAGAGGCCATCTGCGGAGGTAGGTACTTAATAAGGAGTAGTGCATTTTTAGCCCTCTTTTTCCTTTCTTCAAATTGAAAATTTAAATGTGAATTTGAAATTTCGACCTTTTCCGTTTGATCAATTGTTAAAAGTGTTAAGCAGGTGAGCTTTTTGGATGATGACGTGCGGTTTTGGCAACTTTGGCGTAACCGTTCTGCAGCTGCGGAGGCTCCTTCTGCTGTCAATCAACTTACTTCTGCTTTTGCCTCTCCGGCTCCAACAAAAGGACGGCATTTTCTTGTCATCTGCTGTGAAAATAAAGCCATATTTTTGGACTTGGTCACCATGCGTGGCCCTGATGTACCCAAACAAGAGCTTGACAACAAGTCGCTTCTCTTGTCAGTGATCTTTCACTTTGCTCATTTTTGAAATATCAGTTTCATCACCATATTTTATGCACTCATATTTATTATTGTGGAAAAGAAAATGCACTCCTTTATGTCATATCATTTGCTGAGCCCAAATTCCACAATTGAAGCTTCCTATTCCACGTTGTCTTCTGGCTTTAACTGCCAATGCTTTCATCTTTTCATATCCTTGGATGACCTGCATAGCATTTTGATTTCATTTGCGTGCCTCCTCAGTTTTGAGTTTTTCTGCTGCCGCTACCTTTCTCTAACTTTTGATTACTTTTTCTTATCATTGAAAACAATAATTTCATATCCTTGGATGACCTGCATAGCATTTTGATTTCATTTGCGTGCCTCCTCAGTTTTGAGTTTTTCTGCTGCCGCTACCTTTCTCTAACTTTTGATTACTTTTTCTTATCATTGAAAACAATAATCTTGTAGCGGGCATGAGGTGACCTTGTTGATTTGCCTTCTTCAATTAAAGCGCCTCATACCCCGTCAGGCAAGGTGCCTTTTATTAAGTGCATGCCTTTTGTGCGTAGAAAGGTGAGGGGCACATAAAAGGCCTGCTGCACCCTTTGGGTCGTTATGGTTTTTAATCTCTTTTATTAGCTATGTTTATAGTGGCTAGAAAAGGTCAGTATCAATCCTGGGGGAATATAGTCTACTCACAATCTTTTGTTGAAAATGTAAGTCAAGGAAGCGTCAAGCTACTATGTGATGACAACTTTTCTATGTATTCACTTAAACTTTTTGGACCTATTTGTGTGCATATTTTATAGATGCACTTACTATGAGAAAGTTTTCATTTTTATGATATCAATAGGTACGTGATGCTGGAGTTATTGCTGTTGAGCTTTCTAGAGTGATTGGAGGTGCTCAGCTTATTACAATCGGTGCAGACAAGACATTGGCTATATGGGACACAATCTCTTTTCAGGTTTTGTACTGTCCCATGAGAAGTATTAACAGTTGTGAATAGCAGTTCCTGTAACTGAAATTTTGCAGTAAAGAGTTGGCATGTTTTCTCTTTTCATTCTTGTTAACTTCTCTGCTACAGGAGTTACGGCAAATTAAACCCGTTCCAAAACTTGCATGTCATAGTGTAGCATCGTGGTGTCATCCTCAAGTTCCTAACCTTGATATTTTGACTTGCGTCAAAGATTCCTATATATGGTATGCTAATTTTTTTTTTATTTTCTCAATGGCACCCACTAAATACATCTATCAGTCTTTTTTTTATACGTTGGCTTTTGTTACAGTATATTGGTGGAAGGCTATATGCATTAAATAATGATCATTCGAGGCAGTATCATTTGTTTAATTATTGCAAGGGTATCATACTTAATATTTTAACCTTTTTGCAGGGTTATTGAGCACCCAAATTATTCAGCACTTACAAGACCATTGTGTGATCTGTCTTCACTTGTTCCTCCTCAAGTAGTTGCACCAAACAAGAAACTTAAGTTATGTGGCTGTTTTTGTAGTTGTGATCCTAGAACCTCCATTGGTGGGGATTTTATTTTTATTTTATTTTTTATAAAACTTAAGTAGTAGTTTTAGTTTAATGTTATACGCTCTTAATGTTATGTTCAGTGTCAATATTGCAGAAAACTTAAATCAGTAATCTAATGAACTGTAGAAGAAAGAGATTTACATAGAGAAGAAAATGGTCAAGCTCTTTGAGTAAATTCTAATTGCTTGTACAAGAAGCTCAACTAAGGATATAGAAGAAGATGTTGGGACCTCATTGGCCTAACCTCTGGCAGCTACACTTTGGTTTTTGTAGATGGGTTTAAATTCCTGGTGAATATCTCTGAAAATTTAGAAACTAAAGTGCTAGAAACATAAAAATATCATCCATTTACTGCTTACTCTGAAATTTAAATATTATATTTATTCTTTGCCCATGAAATTGGCCTTTGTATGATTGTCATTCTTTTTGACATAGCTTGATGTTTCTTTTCCTTTCTTCTACCTCCCCACCACCTGATCTCTTCCCACAGTTGCTTGTTTTGACTTTTATAAGTTTCTACTGCAGGTTTATTGTATGGTTGCACATCCTTTACGGCCTCATCTTGTTGCTATTGGGACCAATATTGGTATTATTGTCAGTGAATTTGATGCTAGATCTCTTCCTCCTGTAGTTCCTCCCCCAACGCCAGCCTGAAGTCGAGAACATTCTGCTGTCTACATTGTCGAAAGGGAATTGAAACTGTTAAACTTTCAGCTGTCCAAAACAGCAAATCCATCACTTGGAAATAATGGCTCTTTATTTGAAGCAGGAAAGTTGAAGGGAGATTCACTTGAACCCTTGCATGTGAAGCAGATTAAAAAGCACATTTGTACACCCGTTCCTCATTATTCATATTCAGTTCCTTCAGTAAGCAGTTCTGGAAAGTAAGTACTCTTTCTTTTGCTTCAACACAATTGTTGAATTGTTGTTGCTTTACTGAGTGCCAAGTTCAACAATAAGTGTAGTAGATGATTTTGGATGTAGACATACATTAAATTTGTTTGGAGTTTGTTTACAAGCTATTTCACGTCTAGTTTGGACTGTTAGTTCCTCCTCTTCTCTCCTCCCAGCCTAGAAGAGAGACAAAGAACATCTATGCTCTTGTACCATTCAGCTATAAGTACTTCCTACTTTCCCATGTGCATGCACATATGTTATGCTTGGAGAGAGAAATTTCAGCTGGAATATGCTCTATCCGTTAACTCTCATACTGAGCAATTTTACCATTGTACTTTTATAACAGGCATCATTCTTACTGAAGAACTTATGTGCAGGTATCTTGCAATTGTCTGGCCTGATATTCCTTATTTCTCAATCTGCAAGGTTAGCGATTGGTCCATTGTTGATTCAGGAAGTGCAAGGCTTCTGGCTTGGGATACATGTTGTGACAGATTTGCTATATTAGAGTCTGCATTACCTCCTAGAATGCCCATTCTCCCCAAGAGAAGTTCATCAAGAAAAGCAAAATCAGCTGCAGCAGCAGCTGCTACTGCTGCTTCTGCTAATGTCCAAGTTTGCGTTTTGCTGGATGATGGAACTTCAAACATATTAATGGGGTCCATAGGTAGCCTAAGTGAATCGATATTTTAATCTCCTTGCTTAGTGTATACTGTTACTTCATTTCAGTAGAATTAGACTCAATTCTTGATGCATTGGTTCTTCAAATATGAGGAGAGATGGTTTCTTAGTGCCAAGTTATTTGTAACAATCTTTTCCACAAATTATGTTCTCTTTCAACAAATGGTTTTGTTTTCTTTTCACTAGGGGAGAAATTCTAGATCATGTTAGGCGTGTTTATTATCTGTGAAAAAATAATTGGATAGATGATATTTTAGGCTGCTGCCAACTGTTGTTGGGATTTTCAATGGCTTGCTGAAAAAATTTATAGTTCCAGCATTAAATAGCACTGATAAGATTTCATATTGTTAGATTTGGATGTGTTTCTTAGTACTCTCCATTTTTGCTGCGTTGTGCATGGTTAGACTCCTCTCCTAACTTAAAAGTTTCTCTACTAGGTCATCAGCCTGCATGGAGGGGCCTGACTTGGTGTTGCCTATCAGACATCTCGTAGGGTTAGCCCTATGCAGCAACAGCTATATCAACGATTCAGTCTATGCCGTTGTCAGGATTTGAAAGTAGCAGATCTTTTGCTACTTTTGATGATGGATTTTCTGCTCAGAGATCTCCTACTGAGGCAGTGCCTCAAAACTTTAAGCTTTTCAGGTGACAACAATTATTATGTAGCCTGTATGCCATTAACATAATTTTGTCTGGTATAATAGTACAGCTTTTGGTTGGGCTTCCAAGCATCATGTATGGCTTAAGTTTTGAGAGCTTACACTTGGTGCAGAAATAGTTGACTTTGAAAACTAGTCTACTTTACTCTTCTCTGAACCTAGTTGAATACTGGGTAGCATAACTTTTTTTAGGATTCAAACTTCCATAAAGAAAGCATAATTGCTGAAACTGTGAGATTGTCCTCCATCAATTGAAATGATTGAGATGCTTTTGTTCAGAGCTGTTAATCCTATATATACCTATGAGGGCTTGAGATCCAAGATAAGAAATTAGCAAAACTGACTTAAAAAAACTCCTTTAAGTAGAAGGTATGCCTAAGGTTGAAAGTTGGCAGTGTTTCTGTATTCTGTCCATCAATTTACAGCATAGGCTTGACTCTTTAAATTTTATTGTGACATTTATGTTTGAATTCTTCTTACATTTTGGTTGTCTGCATCATCAAGCCTGTGAGACTAATTTGTGGAATTTTAAAATGTTTGTATACAAAATATGTAAATGTAATGCTGGACTTAGTCGATCTTACTTCACCATCTATCTTTGTGTAAGAGAATATGTGTGATACGAACCCAAATGACATTTATGGCTGGGATGTATTTAGATATTTTTGTTAATTTGTCATACAAGTTTTTTAGAGTCCTGAACCAGCTACCATGAACTCTTGTTCAAACTGAACTCCTGAACCAGTCTTTGTGTACATATTGTATGTGTGTGCATATAAATTTTATAGGAGCAGTTCCAAAGGTTTTGTTAGCCTAGTCCTGAATGAGTGCTTTGGGAAATTTGTGTTGCCTAATATCTACTGCACTTTTACGTGTATTTTAATTTTACCATCTGATGACAAAGATAATATGCCATTTCCTTTTTGTCAACATAACAATTGATTGAAGTTATAATGTGCAGTTGGGAGACTTTTCAAGCAGTAGGTGGCCTTCTCCCTCAGCCAGAGTGGACTGCATGGGACCAAACTGTTGAGTATTGTGCTCTTGCTTATCAGCGTTATATTGTCATCTGTTCCTTGTGCCCTCAGTATAGATACCTTGGAGGTGTTGCAATTGCCTATGCCACTGGAGCTGTTTGGCAACGGAGACAATTGTTTTTGGCTACACCAACTACAATTGAGTATGATATAGTTACTTGTTTAGAAATTTGTTTACATTAAATTGAAATTCCTGGTTTTCTTCACTTTTTATTTTCTGCATATTTCTGTAAATTTTCTTTTATGAAAATATGCTTTACTCTAGTTATAGGCCCTCTTTGAAATGGAAGTGATTAAATGGACAAATAAGTTTATGGAATGTTACTAATTAAGTTGAGATTTACATTGGTTTGCTGAATAATGGAATATAAAATTTTGCAATTCGGCTTCTCATGTCTGATGGAGGCAGTGAAAGACTTTATTCTTCATGCTTCATTATGCAGTTCCAACATTTGCTATGTAGAATTTGATATTATGATTTGAAGGTATTTCATTACAAAGGTGCAGTATTATAATTTCTGTAAACTCCTCCACCCAAGAGTAGCTTTGTTGGAATTAGGTTGTTCATGGAGTTTATAGTTTGCAGCACAAGAATAATAGCCACAATCCTTGCCACCTTTCCTTTCCCGTCTAGCTCTCTTTTTAGGTTAAACCTCAATGGAATCGAAACTTTATTTACTTCTAAGCCCCAATCCTAATTACTATTAGCTGTAAACCCTAAAATTCCAAAACCTTTATAAACCATAAGTAGGAAATAAAAAAATTTTCCCCTTGATATGTCCTAGATCAAAGTTTTATGTCAAACTACTACATCTATTGCTTTGAAGTATTTTAAAACAACCAAATATATATATCAAGTACATCTTTCTAGTTGTGTTGTATAACTTGTTTGTAATTTCTAATTTTACATAGAACATGCTAATATAATATTTTTATCATGTAATTTAATTTTGATAAGATGAACATGCTAATATAATATCTTCATTGTGTAATTTAATTTTGATAAGATTGTACTATTAGTTACTCTGAATAAATGGTAGAAGTGTTGGGAATGTATTTGCAACAGTTCTCATTGCATGATACTACTTAATTCATTTTGAATTATTTCATGTATTGATTTCAATTAGAGATTGCACTACCCACTGCATGGGATAATTGGTTTTTCTTACTAATCTTTTCCCTTTTATGAGTGGTATTTCTAAATAGAATTGAATTCCTTGATTAATACCTATTCTAGGGTCACAATTGACGGCATAAAAAGCTATATTGCCACTTTTATTAATTTACCCCCTCATTTCCTTCTTTGAGCGATATAATGGAATCAACACCATCAACACTAATTTAAAGTCTTTAAGTCCTTCAAGGCATTGAAAGTTGTTCATAAGAGGGCCTTTTCTTGCTGGTTAATGCACTTATTCCTTATTATTTTTTTTTTAAGTTGTTGGAATGCCAAGAGTGCAGACAAGCTGAGCAATAATTGTGCAATGCGTATCTTTTGGGTTGTGTTTTTCAGATGTGTTTTTGTGGATGCTGGAGTTGCACCCATAGACATAGAAACAAGAAAGAAGAGATGAAACTAAAAGAAGCACAAGCAAGAGTAGTTGCTGAGCATGGAGAGTTGGCTCTAATCATCGTAAAAGGTCCCCAAATTGCTACACAATAAAGAATAACATTGAGACCACTTATGCTGCAGGTCAAAATTCTTATATCACTTGTTTATAATTTTTTTTTTGCTGGCTGTCATTAGTGGAGGTGGTGTTAGACTATTATGCATACTTCCTTTTAATGTTGTCAAGGCGCCTAGGCTCTAAGCACAGTGTACAACAAGCAAAGAGCCTTGTTCTCTTTTAGAGGAGCGCCTTTAATCGGGCACATGCCTTATGTGTCTAAGCATTTTTTTTTCAAGGTGAAAGGAGTAGAAAAAGCACACCCGACTTTAAAGTGTCCTTTGTTTCTTTAGTTTTTAATTTCTTTTGTTAGATATTCTTTGAATACTAAAAAAAAAATCAGTTGTATTTACATTAATAAAAAATTAAATAATATTATTGATGCACAACATTTTGTCAAAGATGGAAGTGATGAAAACTTCCTCCTAGCATGTAGAGTGCACCTTGCACTTTTGACAACTGTGATAACGTATAGATCTGTGGACCCATTGCTAGATATTGATTTAAGGAGTTGTCACCAATCTTTTTTATTTAGGTGCGATAGGCTACCTAACTAATTCTGTCTCGTTTTAAAGAGAAGTCTAAAGCTTGACTTAGGTATCTTTAAAAGGTAGATTCAATGTCTACCAAACTAAAACTAGATTCGAGTGTACAGTTATGTGTGAGGAAGGTTATAGCACCTTTACAACGCCCATCAAAGGA